TAATCACGGACTCACACTGGAACACAGAGATACAGACACTGTTAATCACAGTCACACACTGGAACACAGAGATACAGACACTGTTAATCACAGTCACACACTGGAGCACAGAGACACAGACACTGTTAATCACAGTCACACACTGGAGCACAGAGATACAGACACTGTTAATCACAGTCACACACTGGAACACAGAGATACAGACACTGTTAATCACAGTCACACACTGGACCACAGAGATACAGACACTGTTAATCACAGAAACACACGGGAACACAGAGACACAGACACTGTTAATCACAGTCACACACTGGGACACAGAGATACAGACACTGTTAATCACAGACACACACTGGACCACAGAGATCCAGACACTGTGAATCACAGTCACACACTGGTAATAAAATGTCAGTACAGTCAGTGCTGTCAGTCAGCAGAGTTTCACACAGTGTACATACGTGATTTAAGGATCGGAGCTCGCTTCACAGCATCTGCAGAGAGAGAGAGTAGATCTTTATTGTATTAAAGACCATTATTGCTTCTTACCTGTTATTATAGCAGAGTTTATCCTACAGTCTGCAGTCAGTCCATTTCAGGATCCCCAGTCTCCACTGCAGTGTGATCAGAGTGTCAGTGAGTGTGAGCAGCAGTGGCTGTAAGACTGGAGTCTCACTCAATAAGACTGAGCAGCACAAAGCAATAAGACACACAGACACATCACAGGACACCCTGGAGTCTGGTGCTTGAGCCATTGAGAGAGGTAAGAAATAAACACAGTCTGTCCACAGCAGTGAGCCATCTTTGACTTTCTGTATTGACTGCTCTCACACTGCCTGACTGACCTGTATCACTGACTGAGTGTCCTATACCCACAGTGACCAGTATCACTGACTGAGATACAGAGATGTCCTTCTCACTGGTCACACTGCCTGATCTGTGGACATCAGCTGGACAGTAAGGGATGACCAGTCACACTCCATGGTGAGCACATGTCCACACCAGGCCTGATCCAGGAAGACTGACACACAGACAGTATCAGTCTGACACAGACAGGGGCCCAGCTGGCTGAACACAAGCAGTCAGAGCAGTGTCACACTGCTGAGCATCTATTTTCAAAGCAGGGGACCCTACGCAGGTATGATCACGTGTAAACAGCTAAATCCAAGGTCAAGGTCTTAAAACTAACAAAAAGTCAAAAACCAAAAGGGAAATTTAAACCCAAAAAATCCAAGACAAAATCCAGAAATCAAGGAAAAAGCAAGCCAAAAATCCAGAAACCTAGAGGGAGTCTTGGGAAGATTTCATCACAATGAAAGAACCATGTAGCTCTCAAGGTCTAACCCTCTACTGAGCACTGTGGACACAGAGCAGGGTTCAAGTAGGCTGGAGGGGAGGCCTGGTGATGGGTTAATGAGGTCTGATTAACCTACGCCTCCCCAGAGCACATGAAGTACATGCAATCGGCTTGGGTGCCCTCTGGTGGCAGGATGCCGGTACTGTAACAACCAGCTGTGTTGTTCCAGCTCTACAGACACTGTGTGTAACAGCAGGACACAGGCAGGACCCCCACAGTGTCAATATACAGACTGTTCACTCAGGACAGGGGGCTGATGGCCTGTTGTCAGTCTGAAAGGAGACTCTTCAGACAAGAGTGGAGAACATGTCTTCATTAGAAGAGAGCAAAGAGGACTGATATTCATACAAGCAGCATTTCTTACTTTATAGTTTGTGCTGCCAGTTAGTTTCTTTCACCCATGCAAGTGGTCTAAAACTAAAGTTTTCATTAAAATATTAACTTTGAAAATGTGCACTGGGACCAAACTGAGAGGGAGTCAAAACTGAGTAAGATCTCCTTATTTACATTGTGGTACAGGAATTTCTCTTTTTCTCTGTAGCTTCTATTGCTTTTGTAAATCTTCACAACTGATCAAATACCTGTGTGTATTACTGATGAAAATAAAAGAAGGATTCATTTCAGTGCAATATAGTTCATTAGAGTAGAGTAAAGTAAACTGCAGAACAATTCAGTGAACTCAAACATAATTCATTAGTGTTTGTATTGGTGGATCTGTGATCTCACAGACACAGAAGATCACTTACCCAGTTCTGCGAGGATGACAGGAATGGCTGGAAATAATAAGACATGATTTAGACCATCAGAGCTCTGGTGTCTGATGACACTCAAATTGGTTTAAGTTTTCAAGTTCAAATTGGTAGTTAATAGCTCCTTCCATAAAAAAAACTGTCAATTATAAGAAAAATGTTAATAAACAAGTTGTTCTACGTGGACTTTGTATCATAATAACATGCAATTCAGTTAGAAAACTGGTGCAGGGTCATTTACAGAGGAGCTCCTGCTGAAATCACTACAGGACACGGCACAGAGAGTCTGACTGATTTACTCACCATTGAGTTTCTCCTCCCCTGTAAAGAAACACAGACAGGACACTCAGTGACAGAGGATCAGGGCAGTAGAAGCTGAAAAAATACATTTCCCATGTTTTCTATTACAAATATTCTATATTTCACTGAACAAAAGAACATGAGAGACAGAATCCTAGCAGGTTGTTCTGCTCATCTAGTCATATGATCTATTCAACCCTTTCTGCTGTGAACTTCCACAGAACTGACCCCTCTTACCTCAGTTCTCTCTGATAGATTGGAAAGTCTGTCACTCTCTCCAGGTCATCTGTGATTTCTGTGATAGATTAGCAGGTCTGACACTCTCTACCATTCATCTGTGATTTCCCCTTTAAGGGTCCCCACCCCCTCCTGTCACATGATCATGTTTGACCAATGAACACAGAGCTCATGAATACACTGTGCCAGACTGAGTGACAGTCACTGCCATCAGGGGTGAAATAGACAGGAAGGGTTGGGGGTCTTTGAATGGGCTTGACTATGGTGACAAAGATAGATACTCTGGAATCAGAGGACTGCACTGCTCTGTAAGGTGAATCCTTAAACTACTGCAGCTGTGTGTAGTTGTCAAATCTTATTCTAATATTAACATTTAAATATTTATTTACCTGTTAGTGCCTTTCTGCATTAATCATACTGTAAAGTAGCAATAAACAATCTCATGAAATACAATGATTACACACAACTCTGCACAAACTAATGTACAGTATTTCACAATATTGTGTAACACTAACAGAAATTTTTTTTTCATAGAGTACACAGAATTATTTGAAATTGTGTATAGAAAGTTAAAAATATACTATACAAAGAGGCTTTAAGAACATATTGTACTGTAATTTATAGCAATTGTAACAATCCTGGAGCCTGAGCACCTGACCTTCATCGTCCAGCTTGCCCTCTCCTCTCTCTATAAACAGAGTCCAGTTTCCTCTCTCTGTCTCTCTGGCCATCACTCTCTCCCTCTTTACCTTCTTCCTTCCTGTCCTATCTGAGTGACCAGCACGCCTGTGTCCCTAACAAGGACAAGAAGCCAGTTCACTGCACTCCCAGTCTCCTGCCTCTCTTGTCCTCCTGTGCAGAGGGAAACTACAGAGAATCGCTTCAACATATTGTAGTTTCAGACATGTGATCATTAGGCTAAGGAGAAAGAACAGATTAAATGAAGCTGCTTTCACAAGTGTCACCTGTTGATCTGTTTTGAGCAGCAAAGGGCTGATTGTGGCTCACTGGTAAAATGCAGTGAGTTTATCTCAGGGTTTGATGTGTATTATACTGTAGATGTTTGTATTATAGATGTCTGTATTATAGATGGCTGCATCAGTAGCTCTCCTGGAGGGTAGTTCTCTATCAAGACTAGAAGATGCTCTGGCTCATGAGCTAAAAGTTTTCGCTTTTTTAGCCTACTGGCTGCATTGTAAATTGTCAGTTGTTCTCAAGAGGAATGTCCTGAGCTGCTCATACACAGAGGGATTTTAAATCCTTCCTGACACAGAGATTCAGACACACGTGTCTATATATAATGAGCACATACTGTTCATTCTTCTCCACTGGATCACCAGAAGTACTGATGCTGCTACAGTAACAGCTGCTGTTAGGAAGAGAGTCACCATCCATCCAGAGGGAGCAGGGAAATAGTCTTCTGAAAACAGAATAAATTAAGAATAAATTAGATAAATGTAGTGGCATTCTGTAGCGTTGCCATGGCAGCCAGCCTCTCCCCTTCTCTCCTGTCAATCAGTGCTGGTTGTCATGGATATACAATAAAACAGGAGACCTGGATCATCTGGGCAGAGTCTGATCGTGTCTGTGTAGGAGATTTGTGGGCTTTTAATTTACTGTTGATTACTGTTTGATTGTAAATTGCAAGAGTACTTGACAACTTTTAAGAGCCAATCAAACATTATAATTTACATTCTTCACACCCTGATTCTAAATATACAAAATACAGTTTATTGATAGAACACCAACACACACATAACAAGCAAAACAATGTATTTGAATATACTGTATCAGTTCCAATCTGCTGCGATACGAAAGGCTAATTGTTCACTCGGGGATAACAAAGATCAGAGACCAAGACATGTTATTGGTTACCTTCTAGGTTTTATCAGTCTCATATAATTAAATTACAGTATTACATGCACTACAGAAAGCACACTGACAGGTTGCATCACAGTGTGGTATGGCAACTGAGGTACTGTTGACCGCAGAGCCCTACAGCGGGCGGTGGACACTGCCCAGTCCATCACTGGAGCTGCCCTCCCATCTATACAGGACATTGATGACAGACGGTGCTTGAGGAAAGCTCTGAGCATCATCAAAGACCCCACACACCCCAGCTACAGACTGTACGACCCTCTACCATCTGGAAAACAGTACAGGAGCATCCAGGCTGGACCAGACTCGGAGACAGTGTTTACTCCCGCACTGTCAAACTGTTAAACTCCCAGCCTCTCTCACCTACAATCTGAACCCTCACAGTGCCTTCTCTCTCTATCAAAACACAAACACATATTGAAATCTGCCTCTACCTCACATGTCAAGAAGTTCACTCCCCGTTATTTTCTATCCTTTATTTCATTCTGTTGATGTATGATTTTGCACATTGCCTGTTGTCTCTATCTTTCTTTTCTTGCACCATTGTATTGTACTACTTACCGTCTGAGAGAGAGAGAGAGAGAGAGAGAGAGAGAGAGTAAATAGCATTTCGTTATACCATAGACCTGTGTATGAGTATGTTGACAATAAACTTGACTTGTTGAACTTCAGTCTTGCAATAATACTCTGTGCTCACTGTCTTCTTGGGTGGGGCTGTAAGGTACACAGATGAGAAGAACTAGGCTCATCCTGGCTATAGCCTGCTTCTGAATGTGTTTGATTATTCTGGATGTTGTAAAGAGTCCAACTGTCTCATTCTTTTTATTGAGGTGAAAATAACAGTGGGTTTGTGGACACAAGATCTCTTCTGTTTCAGATAGATGATCACGGGGAGAAGTCTGTACTCTTCTGAGTCACTCTCTTGACTTGGTGAAAAGTTAAAGTCCTGACTCAGACTGCTGGCAGTCATGTGGTTATAAAAGTCAGAAGACCAGTTCACTTGAAGAGATTAAAAGTCAGTGAGTTAACCAGTGAAAATGAACTGGGTTCTTCTTTTTAAGGTGGGAATTGGCTAAGATGCTATCAGGTACCTACCCTGCAGACCCCCAGTTAGTGAAACTTGCTTTGGGTGATGAGCAGTAACCTTGGACCTGTGGACAAGACAGACTCACTGGAGCCCATATGCTCTCTGCTGCGGACTTGGTTTGCTCCTTGACCTCAGATTCGGATTCTCCCATGTTTCCTGGAGATATATCACTGGACCACGACCCTGGACTGTGTCTGCCTGCCTGTCCTCACTCCTGTGTGTTCACTGCACACACCACACCACCTGTCCCCTCTCCTGTGTGTTTACTGCACACACCACACCGCCTGTCC